ATAATTTAGAAAATATATAATTTAAATAAAAATGAAAAATTAAATATCGATAAAATAGAATTCTTTTGAAAAAGATATAGAAATATGATGCTTTAAAAAAAGAATTGGTTGTATTTTCAAGATTTTTATTATATATGAAATCTATTTAAAATCATTATAGAGAATTATAATAATTAATATAAAATTAATTAGGGTACTTTTATTTCAACAAAAAAAGATATATCTATTAAAAAAAATTGAAATATCATATATCCAAATAAGTTTTATTATTGATTTGCTAAATCTTAATCTATATATTCCATAAATAAATAAAAGAAAGCAAAATCCAAATGTCTATTTTTATAATGTTATTCTCGATTCATCGGCCCCTCCTCTCCCCGCTCCAAAACCATCAATTATCATAAATATCTCTCCTCCGCCCTATCCGACCTTTATCCGATCCCTAATATAATCATCCCAAATCCACCCGATCCTTATCTAGTCCCTAAATTAATCAATATTTCCCAATAAAATTCTTTATGAGAAAATTAGAAGTATAATTCTCGCCAAGAAATATTCTTATCGGGGCCGCTTCTTCTAGCGGCTAATATAAGAAAAAAATATCATTTTAGTAACGATAAAGATAAAAATAATATAATAATAATCATAATCAAAATATTAATAATAATAACGGCGATTTCGAATTCCTCCCAATACGCGCGAACCATATTATCATATCAAAAAAGAAAGGCCCGAAAGAAACTTCTATTCGGTATTAATATTCGGCCACCACTATATAATATTCTATCATTACACGACCTACCATTCAATTAATCAAAATTATCCCTCGCCTACTCTCGCCCACACCTCCATCGCGATACTCCCCACGACTCATCCCTTCGCCCACAACTTGTATTATCCCATGCCGCGACTACATTTACCGAGAAATTAGTACGATACGAAATCAGAATTTTGCTAGAAGTCCCGGAATTTCGTACAATACGAGACACGAACTTCCAAGATTAAGAATAAAACACATCTCAATCCAAGATTTTCGTAATTTCGAACGGAATAATCCGGCAACCATTTTAAATAAATCCGAAATTAGAGGAAACGCACTTTCTAATAGACCAATATACTTGCAAAAACACTATTAATCTAAAACGAATGTATTTCAGAATTAATCTATGCGTCCAAGTTACAATACATTTAGTATTTTTCTTTCTCGTCATTTTATCTAGAATATCAGAAATACTAGATGTAGTCAAAAATTAAATACAAGACTGTGTTATCATCCTTGACCTCGATCGAATACCCTGTTGTTCAGCGCGTTCTTTGCCGCACTACTAACTCATCGCGTCATTTTGCGGAGGCAATGGTCTCATTGCTGCTTGCAGTGGTGGTGGTGCATGCGACGCCTTGGAGGTTGCCAGTGCAATCTTGGTTTTGCAGCTGCGGAGAGGTGAAGAATTTGCTGCACACCTGAAGGCCCTGCAGAAAGCCTCACCTACATCAAAACAAGTCTGAATCTTGGCTTTTTGAGACGCTACAGACCACAGGTTGTGAAATTGACTGCTGTCCAGACGCTTCGCACATCGCTCTGACAAGAGAAAGATGGGATCGTTGGCCTTGGCCACAACACAGCACGCGAGAAAGTTGAATTCAACAGGCTGTTCAAATCTTGCATTCTTGCTACAGCTCCTCATTCGCGAATCTGTCCAGGCTCGGTGTCGGACAGACCCAGCTAGACGATTTGAACATGCCAGGTAGATTCTGCACAACCTCCAACTTCTATGCCACCAGGGCACTCATCCAGCTCCATCAAGCGCGAAACCTGGCTGCCAGAAGCCCGTGAGCAACCGATTACACCCTTGTCGACCAGCCAGCAGGATGTGAGCGAAGGCACAGGGGCAGACTAAACCGTCTGGTATGTCCGCCAGTTGTTTTTTCTCGCTGAATCCTTTTGGATCAATCACTCGGTTTTTGACATTTGACATAGAACATGTACCAATATGTACCGCACAGAGTCACAGAGACAGACAGACAGACATGCCTGCTTCTGCGCATGCACACCATGTACATATATATATGCATGTATATGTACATGTCGCATGCCTTGACAAAACCGTGCTCAGCAGCATGTGCATTGCTCCAGTTACATCCTTGTCTTCTTGCAATCGAGCGGCACAGCAGTAAAGCTCGAATGCGGCCTGAAAGTGAAATTCGCTGAGGAAGACAGGCTGTGCAAATGCAGACGTACACGATAGATTTATGTGATGTGTGGGTGCAATGTTCCATTGCATGACATTGCCTGGCCTGACGTGGCATTGTTCGATGCTGGCACAACAAATATTTGTCTTCAATCCCGACCTAAGCCCTCCCCCCAATCCCTAAACCCGCGCACACGCCGTGAACACATGCGGCACTTACTGGTAACTGACTACTCCAAACCCTAGACTCTAGACCCCAACCCTGAGCTCACAACCATGAACCCGTACCACTAAACAACAAGCGAGCACGAACTTTTCACGGAAAGGACAGACATCTAGCCAAAGCAAACGAATCCGAAGAATCAACGGCTGTAAACTATAACACTGCCTTAATAGTTCTACACTAAACCGTCCCCAGAATGGACCGTTCGATCCCTGTCGCGAACGAACATCCTGGCCTACACCTGCGTAAGGATATTGTGTGAAGGGATGCCTCCACCGATATCCACTTCTTCGATGGATAGGCAGGCATGATGTTTAATATGAGAATATGAACGTCCACCTATCCATCCATCCATCCGTCCATCCATACGTGCATGCATGTATACATACGTACAACATACATTTACAGAGTATCCTGTACCGTTCCCCTCTGGCCCTTCGGGTAATTAGGCACGACTTGCACAACCAAACAACATCGGGAAGGCACTCTACACCACAAGTGGATGATCCCTGTGCCAGACGGCGGGAACCTAAGGCCCTGGCTCGGGAACACTTCAGCATCCGCTCAGCACTGAACTCCGGATCCTTCGAATCCAATACAGCACCGGCAACAGGTCTTGCTAGAGAAGAGCTGGCACACCCTGCCTTGAAGTACTTCTTGATCTTAGCTCGCTGAGGAGGCCCAATGTCCTGCAGAGACTCTGAAGCATGAAGAGAACGCCCTTTCGCCATACCCAGCTCAGCCAAGATGATTGAATTGCGCACAGGCCTTGCCGTGAGATCGAAGTTTGGACAGGAGAAACGGGTCCGACAGCAGGTACCGCCGAGCCTAGGCAGCGAGCACCCCAATTTGCCCCCGGCGAGCATTAGAGGACTCCTGGGACCCGGATGGATCTGTCTGAAGCCTGAGGCACCTGCCGGTTCCCAGTAGTCGGTCCGTAAACGATGGTGAACCTGGTCACTGGGCATCGAAATGAAAAGGAAGGAGCATGTGGATCAAAGGGGATCCGGCTTCCGGTGGGCAAACACAGCAGAGTGTAGCGCAAGAATGGTTGGAAGACAGGTGCTGCGAAGGAACGCACTGCTCGTCCAAGTGCTTCACAGGCTGTATGTGGAAAAGCAGGCAGCACACCTCCAGGCTATGGGATTGACCGCGTTGACTGGCTGAAGCTGCACTGGGAGGCTGAGTTACAGCGCCCTTTTTACAGTCGAACCTTTTCGATTGGCTAGACTGCTGGACAAGCATGATGCCATGCGCGGGAGTTGACTCAATTGGAGCTGCAGGGAATCCGACGGGCCTCCATCAGCATGCGGATTGGCGGGGGAGGCTTCTTCAAGGCTTTGATCTCTGAGAGATCACCTTTGCTCATCTGACTGATACACCGTATCCCTCGTTAGAGCCTACGGCGCATGCTGCAAGCATTCGTTAGGAACCAGGTCTGAGTCCCTCAGTTGCAACAGGTTGGAAATACTTTTCTTGGACTGCTTGATGAGTTGGACACTTCGATGTAGACAGCATTGTGCGTCCACAGCCACTGAAGCTGGACGGGATTGCACATATATATATATATATTTATATTTATATCTATATATATTTATTTTTTTGTTGGATGAGTGTTCGCTTGGCCCCTTGGCCGACAAGAGCACAGAGCAGTTTGCAGTGAGCGTATGCCAGCGGAGCCTGGTTCTTTTCTCAGTCTGAAAATGTCGCATGGATGCATATGTGTAACAGATTGTAACAGTATACGATAAGCATGCAAAAATGGCTGTTTACCCTGTGTTGGGGTGGCCATGTAGTGTGTTCCAGGACATAGACATAGACTGCTCTGTCTTCAGACGATGCGAGTTTCCAAGATGCAAACCACGGATGCTGCTGTTCCCAGTCTCGAACACGCACCATAATGGGCTTCCCTAAAAACTTTCTCGAAGCGCCGCCGCGTTGCGCAGAGAGAGCTGCGCCAGCTGCTCGCCGGCGCCCCGCGCACTGGGCGGAGAGGAGCTAGGAACCTGCAACGCAGAGAGACCGAAATGTCAATCAAGCTTCGTGGACCTGAAGAGGGATTAACGATTCAGTTGACAAATCTTGCTAATCAACAAGAGCCTGTGACTCCTCAAAGAGTCGGGAGGACTGAGGGCATGGCGAACCTTCCAGAAGCATTAAGACCCCCCCTTGCCCGCCTCTCGCGACTTTGTGGCCTTGTTCCAGCTGGGGCTCCTGGCTGCAGGATCCGACAGAGGCGGCTCCGGAGAGATCATCTGCTTGCAACTCTCCCGCACAAGGGGTCCACACTCAGTGGCGCAACGGCTTTCACAAGTTTGCATTTGGGGAGGGTTTGCGGGGTGAGGTCGAAGAACACTCTGTTCCTTCACGGGTCTCGGGATCAGCTGCAGCGCCAACATGCTGCCAGAAACTTCAGGATCCTTTGCAAAACGTGGCCAGAAGCAGCACGCCCTTCTTTGGACGACGGCTGGCCTCTGCTGGAGCAGCACTGGGCCTGCTGGCGGATCTCGTCGAGCATCCTCGTAAGCGGTCTCGCTTCTCAGGCAAACACGGATCCGACCCTACATACAATAAACGTGGTATTCCATTATCGTCAGCATAATACGATTATACTAAACTAGGCCCGTGGCCCTGCTCTAGTTATTGAGGCCCATGATCTCTGCTTTCGTGTGTGTATAAGTCTGTATGAGTGACGGTATTGTACCGGGACGCCTGGCCTCTGCGTTGTCATAGACAGAGGCCCACTCGCGCAATAGGCCACCGGCAGTAGGAAGCTCCTCCTGCAACGACACAGAAGGTGTTGAGCTTGCCAAAGGTTTCGTTGAACTTCACGGTCCGACATCCCTGGAGCTATTGCTAACTGAAGCCTCCGTGAAAAAGGAAATGATCCTCCCTGCTGCAGCACAGCCCAAGGGCTCAAAAGCCCGTGTCGGCATAAACTCCAAGATGTGAGTCCTCAGCCTCGGGATCTTTGGTCTTGGGAGCTGAAAGTTGAGGCTCCGTGGCAAAGCCTTCCAACCTTGCATGGCGATCAAACTTGTCTTCATCCGGGCTGGAACCGCAAGTCTGATTTGGACCAGCATTGTCTGATGCCGCTTGCGCAAATTGAGGGGCGCACTGCTCCTTGACCTTTGTAAGGCTGACCGCAGCTTGGGCACTGTCAACCTGACCGGGCGCTGCCCTACCGCCTTGTCCGAAGCCCTGCTCCTTGTTCATTTCCGATACTCGGAGATGCGCACGTGATCACATGTGTAAACCAGATGAACGAGAGGCATGCCCGCTCGGCCCGCTCGGCAGGGCTGAAACAAACCCAGGCCGGGAAGAGTTTTTTGCGGCGGCCTCATCGACGTTTCGAAGGAGATCCCGCAGAGAATCAAGCAGTGCCTGGCTGGCCAGCTTCAACGCTGCGGCTATGACATGCTGCGCTTTCGAAATCCTCAGGAACACTTGTCTTCGCACCCTGCAGCAAACGTCAATCGAAACCAGGACAACCCCATCCTCAGCACGTCGAAGCACCGAAGCACCCCACCGGGATGCCTCCGCTTGGCCACGTGCCTCTTGCGCGGCTGCTGCGCGATTCTGCGCGGCGAGGCGCAGCGCCTTGTGGACGCGTCACGGTTCATCGAGCGCACTTGCGAGCCAAATCGTCAAGCGTTGTGGACAGTTGTAGGCTGGACTTGTCTACAGTCTACAGACCTGCACATAACATCTCGCCTAACTACAGTGAAACCTCTCAAGAGCCTCCGTCTTGTTGAGCTCACTGTCCAGGGAGCGATTGGCCTGCACGAAGTTGAATTCAAGATTCGCAGCATGTCGCACTGACCGTCACCTATGTAGCACAGTTTGTCACTGATGACGTTTCCATCCAAGCAAGGGCTGTGGATCGAAAATCAGGTGTGCTTGGCGGGCCTCCTGCACTTTGCGAAGCTTCCGCGTGAGCTCCTCGCACATCCCAACTCGACGCTACGACGGGTCTAGGATGGTCTCGGCGCTCCCAGTCACACACCAAGCCTGAACCCCCTCCCCCCGGGTTCCACATGGATCTCGGACTTCTCATGCAGTTGGCGCCGGAGCTCGTCTCTTTCAACCTGGCGAGCATCCGGACATGAGGGCACTGACCCGGCGCGGAGATGTTGCTGAGCTGCGGGGAGCTCTGCTCTGGCGTAAGATGATAGGCGCATAAACAATCCGCAAAAAAATCAAGGAAGTCTAGCATTAATGAACGGATGGTCAAAGGCCGCGACACGCGACAAGGGCTCTATTCTGTCCGCCATCCACTCGGACTAGGTACGCCTGGCTTCCATGGTATCGTAGGCCCTCAGCCAGTCGTCTGCCGAATCTGGTCAAGACACCTTGCATCGCTGGAGCTGCGTTGCCAGCTGCGCAGCGCGCCCCTGATCGAGCAGGATGGTGGGGACAGACATCAACGATCTCAGAAGCAAGGCTCGCACAGATTGCTACAACGTACCAAAGATACACAACACGTTAAGATTTGGATTTCCATAGCATGGCACGCCAGACGCCACCAGCTAGCTAAACTACTGCTCCTCCCACGCACGTGACTTACAACTACGCCACGCTACTGTATACAACGAAGCACTCAGGCCCACGAATCAAGCATGACCAGCAGTCCTCCGCGCTGCTCAGGCGTTTTGACGCTCGGCTCTGGGCGGTCTGCGGCAAATGCAGCAACATGCTCTTTGAGATTCTGTGGCACGGTTGTTGCATGGCGGCCCTGCTGCCTCCGCCTCGTCGCGCAGGGCTCGTTCCCTGGTGAGGGTGCCTTGAAGCTCTTCAAGCTCAGCTTGGAGGCCTTGGAAGCCGTAAATCGTGCCGTAAGGGCGTCTTTCGGTCAAAGTCGGCCGGGCAGCGGGTGACCTCCGCCTCGGCCACTTCGGCCTGCGCGCGTTGAGCTGAGCGTCGAAGTTCAACACTCTGAGACGTGAGCTGAGCTCTTTCAGGCTCGTTCTCGCTTCGGAAGCAGACTTCGCTTGCATTGGGCTGCGGCCTGTGGAGAAGGCTCGTTGATCTCCTGCCTGCCACAAAGAGCGACTTTCGAACTTGCATCAGCAGCCATCGAGCGATCTCTGCGACAAACATGGAGTGATCTCGAAATGCCTCGGTGCAGAGTCCACCGGCGCAGACCATGGCTCCTGGCATCAGCGATGTCTCACACCGCCGTGTGGCCCTGCCAAGCCATGCCGGGAATGCCTCTTCGGACAAGGGCGAGCTGATCACCTGCACGATTCATCTCACAACTCTCTAAGTGAACCTGCATGGCCGTGTGATCTGAGAGAGTCGCCGGTCAGTAATGTTGGCAGGCAAGTGTTGACATCATAGCGAGCCTCACTCTCGTCCGAGTCTTTGCAGTGCGCATCATGCACTGTCGGGGCCTTGGCAAGGCACACTCAAGAGGCGAAGATATTCTGGCGGAAACAAGCCCTTTCTCACACGTGATCGATTTACTGCTCTTGGAATTTGTCTCGCAGCATGCTGGCATTTAATTTGAGCGTATTTGCTGAAGCCCCGCAATGAGGCACCAACCATGGACAAACGGCTAGGCTTCTCCTGATCAAGGTGCCAGCAGAGAGAGAGAGAGAGAGAGAGAGAGAGTCACAGGATACAACTCCAAGATTGCGATTTGTTGCGATGGCTTGATACATAGTATGATACGCAAAAGATCCCGCGAGCCGCTGCAATCACATGTCAAGTAAGCAGCTCGAAGCCAAGAACAATACCTTGCACGACAACCACAACAACCACAGCAGCAACAACACCAGCAGCAGCACCGGCAGCGGCAGCGGCAGCAACAATAGCAGGAGCAGCAGCAAGCAGCATGCAGCTGCAGCTGCAGCTGCAGCTGCAGCAGCAGCAGCAGCAGCAGCAGCAGCAGGCGGCAGCAGCAAGCAGCAGGCAGCAGCAGCAGCAGCAGGAGCAGCAGCAGAAGCTGCAGCAGCAGCAACAGCAACAGCAACAGCAACTTTTCAAAAACAATAACAAGAACAATAACAATAATAATGAAAAGAGCAAGAACAAAAGCGAGGGCAACATACGGCAAACACAACCACAACAGCAACAGCAACGACAGCCACTACAGGATGGATGATGGATGGGCCTGTGGCGAATCTTGGCTGTCTTCAGTCGGGACCTGCCCGAAAAGCCGAGAGAACAAGTCTTATCAGGCTGCCGCAAGCGATGCTTCGTCACTGGCTTCGAACCACCGCAGATTTTCCAGAGGCGGCTTTCGAGGTACCAAAGGGAACTCCTGTTGGTCAGCAGAACTGCCTGGAAGTGTGAGGGTGCCGCATGTTGAAGGCGCTGACTGCTTGTGCTAAGCAGCATGGTCATAGCATCAGTGTCTCGTCTCACAAAACCATGCAACTGCCGAAGAAACTTTGTACATGACCAGGTGCCGCTTGACAAATCATTTAGAGCGCACGAGTCCCATCTCGCATTCCTAAACAGTCCACACAGAAAGAGTGTTTTGGGGGTCTCCAGAGAACGAGAGAGACGTGCACTCGGCAGCAGTGACTGAATAATGAATTGATCGTGTTCGAGAGGTCTAAGGGCACCGGCCAAACTTTAATACGACCCCTTTGATCTTAGTTAGACTTCCACTCAAGTCCTCTGCGAACGCAATTCGCATTGGCACTGCCGAGCTGCTGCAGGTGTTAAACCAGTACCCACGAGCAAAGCACGTATAGCGAAATTCCCGATTCACTGCTGGCCGTTACACGGCCAAGCAGGGGGAACCAAGACGAGCAGACGTTATTCAAGTGTCAAGCTCCAAGATTCGCACAAGGACCAGGCATTGACACCGCTATGTACTTACCCTTATCGACCGTAAGCAAAGCTGTAGCGGACACTTGGAACATCGCTCATGATTCATGGCTCATGCACCTAGACCTAGGTGGCCCAGCGAACTGGGCAAGCTGGGCCAAGCACGTCTCATTCTGCTAGACTCCTTTTGACGACTCTAGCAGGTCTTCCTGTTCACGCCGGCGGCGAGCACCAGGCCAAGCCCTGGCGTGGAAAGAGCAAACCTTAGCGGCCCACTGCTGAAGTAGATACCGATGTAACACAAAATACATGGCCTCTATGCACACGCACACCGGTGCGTGCGTAGATGCATGTATCTACGCATGCATCCACCCATGCAAACACATGCAAGTCTCACCTCGTTAAGCTCGGGCCCCCGGCCACTTGAACGGCAGGTTGCCGTTTGCGGCCCCTGGAGCGCACCGAAGCTGCAAGGAAGTCCTGGAGCGGACTGCGGCTCGTTTGAAGGACCGTCCCCCAATCCCTCGGTCCTGATCCTCAGGTGCTGGCTGTGGAAGATCTGGAAGCACCTACCGACGGTATGACACACATACCACACTCACTACACCACCCTCGCCAAACCCATCACGGCCGGGGCCTCCTGGACCAGTTCAGCCTGCAGCGCCTGCAGCATCTCTCGACATCTCTCGGCTCTCGCATCCTCGGCGGCGCTGAGCCGAGGACCTCCGTCGGATCTCCTGCAGGCGCCTCCTCCGGCAACCTGCTCCATTCTCATCTCTTGAGAGCACGGACTTGAAGACTCGGAAGTTGGGGCATGCAGTTCCCAAGACAAGAAACCCACCTGTAATGGTGCGCTACAGCGGCCCGGCTCTGCAACCACTCGCCCTCTCTCTGAGCCGCTCACTTCGGTTCCGCTCGTCGTGCACGTCGCTTCGGGGTCCGCCACCAGGGCTGGCAGAGGATTGGGGGAATGCTGGCAAAGGTGGGAAAGCATACGCCGCTATCCCGAGCTTCTTGGATGTTGGCCGTGTCGGGCCCTCTGCCCGAGACTGGTTTACACTGAGCACATCTGTAGACAGCTTCACCAATTTCCGAACTTCACGGAGGCCTCCCAGACCGTCTCTGTGGGCACCAACCACGGCAAGGTGCAGCCCGCAGGTTGTGTCGGCAGCAAGGACCGGAAGCTCAGAAGCAGATCCCTGCAAGCTTTGCATGTTATTGAGAGCCGAGCGAAGTCAACTTCTGTTGCTATAATCACACGCATATGCATATGTGTCTATATATCTATATATACATATATACATACATACATACATACATACATACATACATACATACATACGTGGGTGTTGATCTAAATTGCTTCATCCCGGAATGTCTTTCTTCACGGAAAAAATTAGCTTTAACAAAACCAAC